GCGCGGGCGCGGGCGCGGGGGGCGGCGGCGGGGCGGGGAGCGGGGTCAGGTACTCCAGGGGCGGCGCCAGCAGCTCCTCGGGTGCCGGGGCTGCGGAGCTTACGGAGGAGGTGGGCGGGGGGATGGAGAAGAGCTCCGTGAAGTTGGGCACCGAGTCGCTGATGAACGTCACGTTCCCGTAGACGTGCTGCGGGAAGGCCTTGTCCGCGGCCTGGCTCCCTCCCGGCCCAGGGACCCCCGCGGAGGCGATCTGCGAGGTGCGCACGTGGTACGGGAAGTTCTTGTTGGCCGCCGACGGTCGGGTCATGATCTGAGAAGGAAGTCAGGCGCGGGTTAGAGAGGCAGTGTCCAGGCCCCCAGACTGTCCCCGTAGGGTGTGGACACCTAGCCGAGTCCCCTCCACTTGACCCACTCAGGCTGCCTTAGACACCAGGAGGTCTCCGTGCACTCTGACCTCTCCCCTCTACACCTGGTTACTGTGCTGGGCGTTTCCTCCATCAGAATCCTGACTACAGGGTCATAACTGGTTGGTTAAGGGCAGTGCCCTGTGCCGTGCAGGATGATAGCCGCCAGCCGCATGTGGCCTAAACTGATCAAAAAATTAAGTGCAGAGTTGCTTCTCAGTTACAGCACCGTTAGGTTCAAGTGTTCACTCGGCAACTTGCCGCAGAGAAAGAAGACTGGGCATTGTCTCCCTGCTCTTTTGTTCTTGTGTTGGTTTTGAGAGGGTCTCATATACTACAAGCTGGTCTCAAACTCCACTGCATAGATAAGGATGCCCTTGAAGCCCTCACCTCCCCCCCTTCCTGATTCCTCCCTCCACCTTCCCAGTGCCAGAGTACGGATATCCAGCCCGTGTGCATAAACACTGAGGGTGTTCAGAATGGTCCCTGATAAGCTGTTCAGAATGCCAGCTCCTTAAAGGCAGGAACTTGACTCTTCTTTTGGGACAGGGTATGCAGCATCCTCCTGCCTCAGCCACCAAGTGCTTGAATTACAAGTATTTACCTCCCGAGTTAGCTCAGAACTTGACTTTTTTGTTTGGGGCATCTCTGTGTACCCTGGCTGTCCTGGAACTCTAGCCTCGGACTCAGATCCACTGGGATTAAAGGCATGAGCCTCCACCATGCCCTGGCTAGAACCTGACTTTTCTATTCCCTGTTAAACCCCAAGCTGAACCTAGAGCAGTGCCTGGCTGTGAGCAGACAGTGGTGGAGGTTTTCCAGAACGCTGGTGGGGTGTCTAGAGCCCGCTGTGTTCCGCACTCCAGAAGCTCAGAGCCACCTCGCTGGGGTGCTGGGTTAGCAGTGGGGAGCTGGCAGAAGGGGAGATGACAGCACGGGGACTTGTCTGCACTCTGCGCCCGTCTCAGCGCCCTTGGCGCGGTCCCTCACGCTGGGATCTAGGGCACGCTGACTACTAAACAGCCTGAGCCTCGCCACCCAAACAGGATTGCAGTGCCTATCTGGAAAGATGAGAGGGTGGAAACGAGACCCGCCGGGGCAGAGCCTCTGTAAGGTGGGTGCTCTGTTTCTTCTCTTCCTGTCCCTTCTGACTTCCTGCTGAGCTTCATGACATGGCAGCCAAGGAAGATGAGCAGGTCTACACTTATGCTGGGTCCTAAGGAGGGGATGGCAGACCAGTTCCTTCCCCGGGGGCGGGCGGCAGGGCCCCAGGATTAGGGTTAAAAGCCTCTGTGGTGCTTGTTTCTTTGTTCTTTTCTTTGAGACAAGGTCTCATGTAGCCCAGACAGACCTCAAAAACTCTATTTTTCCATCTGATTTTTTTCTGCTGTGTTTCTGTGGGTGACTTGAACTCCTGATCCTCCTGCTTCCACCTGCCCAATTCTAAGGTCACGGGCGTGGCTAGCGCATCAAATTTAACACTATCTAGCTCTTTCTGTGCACCGTCCCCTATGTGAGCCCTGACTATCTGCCAAAGAGAATAGGATTCTAAGCCTCTGTTCTGCCACCCAAGGCCATGGGATCCTGGTGATTCATCTCCTTTTTCAGGGCCTCAGCTTCTATTCTCTGTATAGTATGTACAATGACTCCTGGACTGTCTGGCAATTGAGCAAGAAAGCCAGGGGGGGGAAAAAGGTGTGAATACGGCTGGAGCCCGGTGTGCTGGTGAGTCCCAGAACTCGGGAGGCCAAGACAGGAGGTTTGCTGTGATATCCAGGGCAGTCCAGGGCTATACAGCAAGATTTGTCTCAAGAAGGGGATGGCGACGGGCAGTGGAGGCCTGTAGTCCCAGCACTCAGGAGGCAGAGGCAGGCGAATCTCTGAGTTCGAGGCCAGCCTGGTCTACAGAGTGACTTCTAGAACAGCCAGGGCTACACAGAGAAACCCTGTCCTGAAAAACCAAAAAGGGAGGGGGCAGCGGGGGTTGGGGAGGAGGAACAGGAGAAATGGGGAAAGGAAATGGAGGAAAGCGGCGGGCTGGGTGGAGACAGGTGCCCAGGGGATAGCCGGTGGCTTAACACTAAGCCGGGTGTGCCAGAGCACGTCCTAACCCCAGATACAGCTCAAAAGGCCGAGGCAGGAGAACCGTAGTTGAGCCCGACCTGAGCGACACAGTGACGCTGTCTTTGAAAGAAAGGTTCTAACTGGGTGTTGTGACAGCCTTGATCCCAGCACTCAACAGGCAGAAGGAGACCTAGGCCAGCCTGGTGTACATGGGAAGTTTCAGGTCACCCAGGCCTCACAGCACCTATCTTAAAAAGGCACCACAGACTGCTGAGTAAATGTATATGAGAACTGTCCCCCGGAAGAGGGTGTGAGTAATGCCAGCCAAAGACAAAACTAACAGGTCAGGCCGAGAGCTTGCCCGTGCCTAGGTCTGCTGTAAACATTCAGATCCACGCTCCCAGGAGCCCTAACCTGCCCCATCTGCTGCTTGAACAAAGAGGGGGGAAGGTGGGAGCACAGCCAAGGGCTGTGGGGTGGTGCTGGCGCAAACAGCCGAGGGGAGACCGAGGCTGCGACAAAGAAAGAGGCCAGGAGACAAGCTAAGAGAAGTGGCAGCGAAGGAGGGCTCTGGGGACGGCAGAGCACCCGGCAGGCTTTGAGGCGTGCCCTCCAGGAGATAGGGCCCCAAGTGGTGCCGTAGGCCCGCAGTCAGCACACGGGAGACTGAGGTGGGATGGTACGAGTCGGAAGCCAGGCTAGACTGCCAGCAAGCCCGTTCCAAAAAATAAGGACGAAGGAGTGATGGACAGTCCCGGCTCTGAGCCCCACCCACCGAGACAGCCGCCTCACCAGGAACACGCCGTGGGCGTACAGGTGCACTCCCAGCTGGATGCCGTTGACGATCTTCTCCCGAGCCCACTTCGGGATCCCGAAATTGGCGATCAGAGCCGTGACAGGAACAGCGAAGAACCTGCGGGAGGTCAGAGCGGACAGCTGCCACCACTCTCCACCCTGCCCCGAGGCCCCCACCTCCCCGACATCACTCATGGCCGACCCCATGGCGGATGAGTGCCCATGGTGGCCTCTGAAAGCCAGGTGTGGAAACTGTCCAGGAACCCGAGGGCCTGGGAAATTCCAGTGGGCAGACGAGGCTGAGTCTGACCCCACCCTGGCCTCTGACAGGGCCCCAGCGGCACACCCCAAAACAGTTAAGGGCCTGGCTGCATGTTTCCAAACGTTTCACGTGTGTGAATTCATGTAACTCTCACACTGAGTCTGGGGAATGCAATATGGTTTCCATTTCCAATAACAGACATGGAGGCAAAGGGCTTGTCTGAGAGCCGCTGATTTGGAAGCTTTGGAGCTGGGACTTTCACCCAGGCACCCTGGCTTGGACTCTGCCTGTTTCACATGAATATTGCTGAACAATTTTAACTGAGGTTTTGGTCTTTTGTTTTGGGGGTTGCTTGCTTGGTTTTGTGTTTTGTTTTAAATTTTCTTTCATCGCTATGCCTCCACCTCCCAAATACTGACAAGTCTGGCTATTCGCTGAGTTTTTATTGAATACTAACTGTGACAGACACTCAACCTTCATACATTATCATTTTGTTTTGTTTTTCTCTGGACAAGGTTTCTTTATGTAGGCCTGGCTGTTCTGGAACTTGGCCTCTGCCTCCTGACTGCTGGGGTAAAGGCCTGTGCCACCACACCTGGGCCGTCCTGGTGACAGCCCTGTCCTGTGAAGCACCGTGACAGCTTATAAATACTTCACAGAAGTTTGGTTTGGTTTTCAAGACAGCGTCTCGTGTAGCTCAGGCTGGCCTTCAACTCCTGATCCCCATGCTCTGCCTCCTGAATACTCTGATTACAGGCATGAGCCACCATGCCCAGCTCAGTGACTTTGTATTGTTTCTTTGGGTTTTGCTGTGGTTGTTTTGAGCTGCTATCTGACTATGTACCCAAGGCTGGCTCCTAACTTGTATCCTCAAGAATTAGCCTCCCAAATAATGGGACTATGAAAGACTTTTTTGTTGGTTTGGTTTTGGCTTTTGAGACAGGGTTTCTCTGTGTAACCCTGGCTGTCCTGGACTCAATTCGTGGACCAAGTTGGCCTCGAACTAAAAAAGATCCGCCTGCCTCTGCCTCCCGAGTGCTGGGAGTAAAAGGTGTTCTACCACACCAGGCTGAGTTTGGTTTGGTTTGGTTTGGTTTTTCCCCACCGTGAAACGGTGGGAAATGATTTTTTTCCTGGATCATAAAGCCAGGAAGCGGCAGGCTTGTCTTGAAAGCTCATTTTCCTTCCTGGGAACGTCCTAGGTTGTGGGGTGCGGCAGGTTGGGGCCCCGCCGTGTCTCACCAGAGGGTGTAGGCGGCAAAGAAGGGCACGTAGAAGGGCTGCTTCTCCGGAAAGTGGCGGAGGGACACCAGCACGGCGTAGCAGAACCACACGTAGGCCGCGACCTGCAGCCCAATCAGCCCGTAGCCCGCCGGGGACTCGTATGTGTACAGGACCTGGCCCGGGTCGAAGAACTGGACCCACAGAGGCCTCATAGCCCTGGCCTCTGACCCGGGCCCAGCCCTGGGACAGGCCGGGCCAGAGTAGGTAAGCTAGGGATGGGGCCTGCGGTGTTTGTAAGCAGCCCTCGGCGGCTGCCGCATGCCCGCCGTGACTGAGTGCCCCAGCTCACACCCCGGGTGACCTAGTCCAGCCACACCAACACCCTGAAGGAAGCGCTACCATCGCCCCACACAGGTGATGGAAAGCCTCCAAAGAGCCCTGGTGGTGGCTAGGATCCCCCTAACTTCACAGGGGGATCGGCCCAGAGGAGGCGTGGGAGTGACCGGCTAGGAAGAGGGGAGCCTTAACAGAACCAGGTTTCTGCCTCTGACATGGAGCTTAAATGTGAGAGACAGGAGGAGGACGGGCTGAAGGACAGCTGGGGAGGCAGAGGCTGGGGGGAGGGTGCTAGGGGCGGCGGCCGGAAGAAGCCTGGGCTACTCACTTCTGCCTCGTAGATGAGCAGCACCACGTGCGTGAGGGTGTACAGGGTCATGTACACAGACAGCTTCACGGAGCCCGAGTGGCTGATGCGGCCCCTGGCAAGCCGGCCGGAGGGGAGACAGCAGGGTGGGTGCCGTCAGGGCGAGGGGGCGGCCGCACCCCACCTCCACCCCCCTGCCCTGTCCCCTCCTCCCCACCCCGTGAGCCCCCCTGCCCGGGCACCGTGTCACCGTGAATCCCTTCCCCAGAAGGATGAGCGTGAGCAGGAAGATGAGGAAGCTGGAGGAGAAGAGCAGCTTGGCTGGGAAGGGAAAAAAGGTAGCTCAGGCCCAGGCTCAGGGTGACGGCCCTGCCGAGGCTTCGGCTCTCATGGCTCCGGCGAGTCCTCACCCAGGATTTTCACGCTTGCATTGCCAACGCCATCCGTGGCATATTGGCCCCAGTAGATGCAGAAAAACAGGAGGCTCAGGACTGAAGGAAAGATGGAGACCAGCATTGGGACATCGGTGTCCTCTGGCACTGACCCAAACATCTGGCCCTCTGCCGCCATCAGAAGTCCAGAAATTGTAGGTACAAGCTGCTAGGAAGCCCGGAGGCCACAGCCTCAGCCTCCCCCACCCCCGGGAGCCGTCGGGCCGGATTACAGCCTTCCTTTCCTCAGACCTAGGAGTGTAGATGGACGTTCTCCTCCCAGGGGTTTGGATCCCAAGTCCCTCTTTTTTAGAGACCCCAAAATCTGGGATACTCAAAACCTCACCCTCCACTCCTGCCGCGGCCATGAACATTTTATATGTTGTGTGGAGTAACTGTCGGCCTTTCAGCAAATCTAAGAAGGAAACCGGGAAACGCTGTGCCCAGGCTGGGAGTGGGGGCTTTCCCACTCCTAACCCTCCCGTCACGGGTTCTACTCACAACCAAAGTAACAGGAGAGGACAAAGATGAGGGTGAAGATGAGGAGAAAGGTCACGTCTGTCTCCAGGATCCCTGGGATCAACAACGGAAGGGGTGGGAGAAGGCCTTCTGAGTGGATATCTCTGCCTGCTCCAGGGACCCGGCCTGGCCTGGTCCTCCAGGATCTACTCACCAAACTCGTCAGCCGAGAAGTGCCGTGTCCAGAAGGACTTGCCGTTGGTGAGAACCATCTCGTACTCCAGCTGAAGCCCCTCTCCCTGAGGGGAGTGGGAGGCCTAAGGGGAGCTCCGGGCAGGTGGGGGAGGGCGGCAGGAAGGGGAGGGACAGCGGCCCGGCGGCTGGCCAGCGCCTTACCCCACACTTGCTGAGTGCGATATACCACCATCTCTCCCGCACCGAGCGGAAGCTGCGGCCACTGGAGCAGCTGAGGTAGCGGGTTCCATCCTCTGACACCACCTGGGGAGGAGCCGGGAGGCTGAAGCCTGGTCTTGGGGCAGCAGGCCCTGGACACCTCTACCTGAGCGCTGCGCCCACCTGACAGCCTGACCAGGCATACTGCGTGGTGAGGTTGATGACCTGGTTGTTCTCCGGCCTGATCACCGACTCCTTGGCCAAGCAGTCCTAGGACAGGGACACGGTCGCCCTCTGAGTGGCTGTGGCCTCCTGCTCCTCCGAGCCACCCCCCACACACTCTGAAAGCCCTCACCTTGTCCCTTGCCTTGTACACAGCTGGCCACTGGGACGGGTCGTCGAAATAGAGGAGGATGTTCTGACAGCACTTGGCCTAGAGACCCAGAGATTCGCGGCTGGGGTGTTTACGGAGTTGGGCAGCTTTTGCCTTGGAGGGCCAAGGTGGCGTCCAGCTTCAGCTAGGCGAGTGGCCAGGGACACTCACCTCGGGGTACCGGAATCGGAAGTCCAGTCGGCCATAATCGGAGAGGAAGCAGAATCTTGTCAGGAACACCCAGTCCTGGCGAAAGGTCCCAGTGAGCCGAGGGCCCGGGGACTCCGACCCTACCCTCAGGCCCTCAACTTTTCTTGCCTCCAGAGCCTCCCTGCCACAGGCGGCCAAGTCCCCTCCAGAATTCTCTCCGGAGCCTTCCGCTGTGTGTCCAAACTCCTGCTGCCCTGGTTTTCTCCCTCAATGTCCCCCAAGCTTCCCTCCCTCCTCCTCTCCCAGGCGCACTGAGAACGACCGTGGCTGGCCGGGTGCACGGCCCCACGCCATCTGTCCTGGACTGTTGCTCAGCTGCATTCCCCGGCCACGCGCGCGCGCACCGCACACCCCAGCCCCAGGGTGGTCCCGCCAACCGTGCCATCCTGGGAGTCCGCGGCGGCCCGGCGACCTCCGCGTGGCCGCGTGAGGGGAGCTGTCCCTTCAGCACCACCGAGTGCGGCTGGCCCCGGGAACTCCGGCCCTCCCTCCCGACCCTGCGCGCCCAGGCCGGCCCCCACCCCGCGGCCTCCCGGCCCGGTGGGGCGCAGGGGGCGGGGCGCGCCTCCCGCCTGGTCCCGCGGCCCGGGAGGCGGGGAGGGCCGGGCGCGCTCACCTCCTTGGAGCTGAGGTTGCCCCGCACGTACTTGGCGCGGGCGCGGGGGGACAGGGGCAGCAGCAGGAGCAGCAGCGGCGGCAGCAGACGGCGCAGCGCCGACGCCCGCGAGGGCTCCATCGCTCCCGCTCCGGCCTCGGCTCGGCGCCGGCTCCCGCTCCGGCCCGGTGACGGCGGCGAGAGCGCGCGGGCCGGCCGGCGCGCGCCCCCGATTAAAGGGGCCGCCGGCCGCAGCGGTCTCCGCCCCTGCTCCGGGACCGACCCAGCAGGCTCCCGCCCGAGCGAGAGCAGCCCTCCCCGCCCTCCTGTCAGCTCGCCCTGCTCCCCTACAGGACCGCGCGCCCCAAACTCACATTCCCGCAAGCCGGGGCCTCCTTCGCACTGCGACCCCAGGAACCCACACCCTGGGAAACAGCTCTGTCCGACCGCTCCCGCCCAGTTTACACCCCAACTTGCTCTATTGTCGCCCTTCCCTAGACTGGACAAACGACGCCCGTCAAGTGCCCGCGGGCACACAGGGAGAGACTTCGTCCTGGGTCACACACACGGTGATGCCCAGCCTAGGCTGTGAGCCAGCCCCAGCTGCTTCACGCAGGCGTGAGGTACTAAGGAGCTAGTACTCTGCCGCTGCTAGGCTGTCGGTGCCCAGGGGGCAGCGGAGAGCCCGGGAAGGCCTTCCGGCACCAAGGTCCGGCTTGATTTCCCTGCTCTGGCTCCAACGTTCCCGGCTTCCTCTTTGTCCCTCCACTGCAGAAACTCGCTGCTGCTCAAAATGCCATTTGAAAAGCTTTCTGGTCAGACATGGTGGCACACACACACCTTTAACCCCTGCACTTAGGGGTGGGAGTGGGGACAGAGGCAGGCAGTTCTGAGTTCATGGCCAGACTGGTCTATGCATTGACTTCCAGGCCAGCCAGAGCACGTAGTGAGAATGTTTTAAAAACAACAAACAAAAACAAAAAACAAAAAACCCTTTCTGGGGCTGGAGAGATGGCTCAGAGGCTAGGAACACCAGCTGTTCTTCCAAAGGTCATGAGTTCAATTCCCACAACCACAAGGTGGCTCACAACCATCTAGAATGAGCTCTGGTGCCCTCTTCTGGCACGCAGGCACACATGCAAGCAGAATACTGTATAAATAAATCAAATAAAAAAATCTTAAAAAAACAAAAACCTTTCTGGTTGGGGACGGAGCCCAGTGGTACTATGTTTGCCTAACATGTGGAAGATCCTGAATTACTTTCCCAAAATGGCAAATAAATAAATTCCTGGTGTGAGACATGGAACAAGCAAACAGTACTTGGGAGACAAGACAGGTGAATCGCCCCAAACTCTTAGACAGTCTGCTGGCCTGGTCTCCACAGCAACTCTCAGGTCAGCCAGGGCTACCGTAGGTGCACAGTCTCAAAAACAAACAGCAGCCAAACCGTGCAAACTGAGAAGGCAAAAGAAACCCCTGGAAAGCCTTTGAAGTCTTTGCCATGTGACCAGCTGTTGACAGATGATCAAATCTTTACTTTGTGTGTATGAGAGAGTTATGCTGTGTTTTGTTGGGGTTTACTGGGCTCATGCAGTCCAGGCTCAAACAAAGGATAACTGTAAACTGTTGATCCTCGTCTCCACCACCCCACACACTGCTGCTCCTTAGGCTCCAGGAAGGTAACAGGTGATATACACCTATCTTAGCCTTACAAGTCAGAGCTAAAGAAAGCTGCTCCCACTTGGGAGGCAGAGGCAGATGGATCTCTGAATTCAAGGCCAGCCTGATCTACAGAACAAGTTCTAGGACAGCCAGGGCTACACAGAGAAACCCTGTCTCAAAAACAACAACAAAGAATTTTTAAGAGGAGAAGGAAGAGGAAGAAAGAAGAGAAAGAGGAAGAAAGAAGAGAGAGAAAGGAAAGAGAGAGAGAGAGAGAGGGAAAACAAGGGCCAGGAGGTGGTGGTGTACACTGTTAAGCCCAGTACTTGGGAGGTGGAGAAGGACGATTTCTGAGTTCCAAGCCAGCCTCGAACTTGCCCCTCTACAGAGCAAAGTTCCAAGCCAGCCGAGACTGCACAGGGAAACTGTGTCCCCCCCCCCAAAAAAAAAAAAGATATTTTTAAAAATAAAGCTGTAGCTGGGAGTGGTGGCACAGGCCTTTGATCCCAGCACTCAGGAGGGAGAGGCAGGGGCATCTCTGCGAGTTCTTGTCTAGAGTCCAGGACAGCCAAGGCTAGTCAGAGAAACCCTGTCTCAAAAAAAAGAAAAAGAAAAACCAAGCTGCTCTGCTGAGCCAGCCACTCACTGAAAACCAAGAGGACCAAGAAGATGTTTTATTGAGGTAACTGTGAGTGTAGGCTTCTGCCCACCAGGCCCAACCTACAGCCTCCTCAGTACAGTCTCATTGGAGGGAAGGACCAAGCCTCTGGACTGCTCTGAGTGACCACCCAGGAGAGGCTGGGTAGTGGAGCAGGAGGGTTGGGGCTCCAGTCCAAGGCAGATGTTCGGGGCAACAAGGGTGACGGTGGCTGAGGTAGGGACTGAGCTGGGCACATATCCCAGGGCTGGGGAGCGGGTGGGGTGGCTATGAGCCAGATGCTTTTCAGCATATCAAAAGCTGTTGGGGGACCCCACGCTGCTCCAGATGGTGAAGATGTGGAGGACAAGAAGGGCAGCTGGCGATCGGCAGGTGGCACCTGGCTGTCCTTGTGTGGAGAGGTGCTGCTGCACATCTGAGGTACGGCAAAGTCATGCCCCTTTGTCGCCTGTCGAGTCCTTGGCCTCTCTTCCCTTGGCGCATGCTCAGGACCACCGCTACAAGGCACCGTCCTCTGTCTCTCGGGGACCCTCGGCTTGGTCTCTGGCATGGAAGAAAAAACATGGAGATCTTATCTGAACCACAGAGAAGGGAAAGGGTGGGATGGCAGGTGGGAGGCACTCACCAGGCAAGGGTGGCTGGCAGCCCTGGAGCACCAGGGCAAGATCAGGCACACAGCCATGGCAGCCTTGTAAGGTCCTCAGGATGGTGTCTCTGGCCTCCTGCACTAGGTTCCTCCTGGGAAAGGCTTGAGGCAGGATCAGCTGGCACTGCAGCTCCTCCAGCAGCTGCCCCAACACGGGAAGCACTGGGGAATTTGGTGGGCCTGGGCCTGAGCCTCCTGGAACCTGGTTCTCCTTGTCTCTTGACTGGAGCGCTGGCTCTTGGGTTCTGACCGAGCTGCAGCAGGACGTGGTGGGCAGCAGGGGACTACATGATTCCAAGGAGCCACTGTTAAGCAGCCGGGCCACATCCAGGGATTTCACCTCATGGTTGAAGAGGCCCCGGTGCTCCCGGCTCAGCCTGCCTTGAGTGATGACGACAAGCTTGGAGGCTGCAGAGGCCACAGGGTCCTGGAGGGGCATGCATGGATCCCGGCTGGACGTGGGGCCATCCTGACGCATTGACTGCCGGTGGCTGCTCACCAGGGCCTTGTTTCGCTCCCGCCTAGTCTTGCGACGGCGAATACGCCCAGGTTTCTCAAGCTGCTGGAAAGGCTGAGGGAGGGGCCCCCGGGGGTCCATAGTGTCCTAGAAAACAAGAGTGGTCAGCAGGTGTAAGTAAAGTAGGAACAGCAGTAAGGGAGAAACGATGCCAGGCAAAGGGGAGAGTACTATTTAGAGGGATGAAAGATGTGGAGACAGGAGCCATCTTGGCCTGGCCACAGAAGGAGTCCAAAATGATAGTTAAGAGTTAATAGGAAAAGATGCCAGGAAATGGGGACAAGGTAACAGAGAATAAGAACAGGGAAAAATTGTTCGAAAATGATAGCCAGGCCTAGTGGTGCAGGTCTGTAATCCCATCTGCTCAGGAACGTGGCAGCACAATCAAAAGTTCAAGCAAGGCCAACCTGGGCCACAGAGTGAATTCCAACCTAGGTGCCTGTGAGACCCTCTATAAAAATAACATTCTTTAAAGACTCTGTGTCTCCAGAGCTAAGAACCTCCCTCAGCAGGCCAGAAGAGATGGCTCAGTAGTTAAGAGCACTGGCTGTTCTTCCAGGGGACCCAGGTTCAATTCCCAGCACCCACATGGTAGCCCAAAACTGTCTATAACTAAGACACCAATGCACATGAAATAAAAAGACTTAGAGTAAAAAAAAAAGAGCAGTTAAGAGCACTAACAGGAGCACTCATTGCTCTCAAAGGACCAAGCTCAGTCCCCAGACCCATGTCAGAGGAGTGGCACAGCCCAACTCTAGTTCCAGGGGATCTGGTGTCTTCTTCTGGCTTTTGTGGGCATCTGTGCTCACATCCACATACTCCCACACAGACACAGAGAGAGAGAGAGAGAGAGAGAGAGAGAGAGAGAGAGTTAGAATAAACCTTTAAAAGAAAAACGTCTGGATCTTGCACGTATGAAAAAAGCCGGGGATACAGTGCAGTGTTAGAGTGCCTGTTTAGCCACGGCACAGGACCTGTGCGCCTATGCTCAGTGGCCAGTGCATGTCTGCTTTCATACATGCACTGAAATAAAACGATGGAAGACGGGCCAGGCGGAGGGTACTTCCCTTCACCCACCCTCCTTTGGGAGTCTGAAGTCAGCTTAGACTACACAGGCTGTGTCTCGGAAAGAACAAAACAACAAAAAATGGAAGTTGGGAAAGCTCCGGGAGACTAGGGGGAGATCTGGGGCAGACGGGAAGTGGCGGGCTGGGGAGGTCCAGGGAGGCACAGGAAGCGGAAACGGCAAAGGAGGGCAAGCGGAGCGCACATGGTGGCGGAGGTCTGTAATCCCAGACGTGGGAGGCAGGCGGGGGCGCGCTCAGAAGCGCGCGGGGGTCTTCGATCGCTCGGGCTTGCGGCCGGCCCGCGTCTTTAAGACTTAAGAACAGAAGGCGCAGGCGGGAGAGCGGGCGCCCGGAGGGGCCGCAGCGCTGGCTTCCGGTGGGGCATGATCCCCGAGGGCCTCCGGGAGGGCGCCGCGGCGGAGGGAGGCGTCGGGCGGCTCGGACCGTCGGGGCCCCGGGGGCCGGTGGGGGAGGGGTGCCTCACCCTCTTCGCGCCCAGCGGGCCCCGCCCGGGCTCCACGCGGCTGTGCCGAGCAATGGCTCCTCGCCTCCAGAGAGCCAGGCCTCGCAGCTGTCCGCGCTCTTCCGGGCCTCGAGCGCGTGCTGAGCCAGTAAGTACGCCACACGCATGCGCGCCCCCGCCACGCCCTGCCACGCCCCCGCCACGCCCCCTGCTCCGACTTCCCCGGCCGAGCACGAGGCACCGAGAGAGACAGTTACAGCCTCGCTCGTTGTCTCCGCCTCCCCTCGCTGGATTGGCTGAGGCCCCCTAGGCCCGCCCCCTGCTCAATGCTGATTGGCCTAGGCTGCTGGCGGCCCGCGGGACAGGTCCAAATGGAAGGCGCTGGGCGCCACGCTCTCCGTGCTCGCGGTCCCCACGCGGAGGTGGCGCGTTTGAGCGGCGAGGCTTCGGAAAACCTTAAACTTGCCCAGAGCCTAGTTCCTAACCCGGGAAGTCGGATGGCAGTGGTACCTCCGCACACAGTCCGTGGAAGGACGAGCCAGCACGGCTGTGATGAATGCTGGGGAGTTTCGGCTCTCCGCCTGGTTTCAGAATTCCCTCCACCTCCAATTTCTCCGTCTCACACGTTTTTAGGTTTTAAGGCTTTTGTTTTGTTTGGCTTGCTCAGTTGCCCAGGCCAGCCTCTGCCTCCCAGCTCAGTGTTTAGGGTTTGTCTTGTTTTGCTGTTTTTTTTTTTTTAAAAACATACTCTTATATCTGAGGCTGTATTTATTATCTGTTTAATTATTATGTGTATGAATGCTCTACCTGCGTGTACGCCTGCACGCCAGAAGAGGTGAGGTCATCAGATCCCGGTATAGACGGCTGTGAGCCACCATGTGGTTCCTGGGAATTGAACTCAGGACCTCTGGAAGAGCAGTGCTCTTAACCGCTGAGCCCCGAGATATTCTTAACTTAGCTCGGGATAGCCTGAAACTCTGTTCTCCTGCCTTTACTTGCAAGCGCCACAGGAGCCCCTCAGACTTTCAAGATAATCGAACTACAGCAGCATGCACCCCTGTACAGATGTTAATATGACCTTTTGCGTCTTTCCTTCTCCTTCCCCAGGCTTTGGTAGCTCTCTACCCATGCTACACTGCTTCTGGAAAACAGCTGTGGGTCACAAGCTCATGGGGTTACACAACAGCGAGGGAGCATCATGAAAGGTTTCTGAAAGTACAACAGATCAAACAGTAAACCGAAGGTGTTGCTAGGGGTGCTCGCTGCATCTTAAAACTTGTGGCAAGGGCATTTAATCTCGGCACTCGGCAGGAGTTTGAGGCCAGCCTGGTCTGCATAGCAATTTCCAGGACAGGCAGTACTAACTACACAGACCTTGTCTCAAAAAACAAAACCAACCAAACGAAACCACATGAGCTTTGGCTGGGAACGCACACTGCATCTGAACGGCACACCGTCATGCTCCGCAGTGCCAGCGAGCACCGCCTCAAAGCTTTCCTTGTGGATTGCAGTGTTTTGACTGTACGTCAAAAGTTTCTCCCGCTGGGCAGTGGTGACACACGCCTTTAATCCCAGCACTTGGGAGGCAGATGCAGGCAGATCTCAAGTCCAGGACAGCCAGGGCTACACAGAGAAACCCTGTCTTGAAAAACTGAACAATAAACAACAAAACAAAACCAAGTACACTCAGCTCATTAGTTTGTAAATTGTTTTTGCTTTTAATAAATGATAAAATTATATATGTATAAAAATTGTTTTAAAGTGAGTATATTATCAGGAAATACTAGCTTTACATACCCACTTTATACAACTGTAAGCTCATGGTCATGAAAGACTTCCTCAGACTGGGGTCTGGAGAGATAGCTCACTGGTGAAAAGACAGTTCAGTTCCCAACACCTAGCTAGGACAACTCACTGCTTATAATAACTCCAACCACAGGAGATCCAACACCCTCTTCTGGCCTCTGCAGTCATCGGCATTCAAGTGCACAAAACCGTAATGAAGAAGGAAGTAAATCTGGGCCGGGAGTGGTGGTTCGCAGCTTCATTCCCAGCACTAGGGCAGATTAGGTAACTGAGTCTGAGCAGCCTGGTCTACATAGTGAGTTCCAGGTCAGCCTATGCTACAGAGTAAGACCTCCTCTCTAGGAAAAATAAAATCAAAACAAAACTTTCGCAAGCAAAAAGGGGGCTCCAGTAGGAAAAGTTTAAGGAGCCCCCGTTCAGCATGGTAGAGGCAGGAGTGTGGCAGGTTTGAAGCCCTCCTCAGGGACATGAGACCTCCAAACAGGCAAAGCCGAGGAGTCCCTGGCCTTTCAGAATCATGCCTGGATCCTGCTCCACCCCACACACACACACACACACACACGCGCGCGCGCACACACACACACACACACACACACACACACACACACACACACGGCCCGTTAATGCAGTCCGTCCTCCTTCAGCAGGAGCTGTGCTTGTTTACGCACAGCTGTGTCCAGGCCCAGATGTGGCTGAGCAGACTGAGACAGAGTGTGCACACGGTAAAGCTCTCCGCGACCTCAGTGTCAGCCCAACCAGAAGGGATGGACAGACTCTCAGTCCCTACGGAGGTGGGGCCGCAAGCAAACAGCCAGCCAGCTCGAGGAGACTAGACCCGGGGATCTGAGAAGCACTGGGGTTGGGGATTAGTCTGAGCCAGGGAAAGAAGGAACCAGTCAGAAAATGGCGCGGCTACCAATAAGGGCTTTGGAGTGGCGCTTTGTTCTTGGAGAGGAACAGAGGCCGTGGAGGCGCAAGCTGATCTGCAGGAGGAATGCCAGCTTCGACCTGCAGCCAGCTCCGATTTCTGTTTCTTCTGCACCTCTCCCACGTGGGTCCTGGGGTTGTGCCTCAGACGCATAAAGGTCTGTTTTGGAGATTTTTCAGCATTAAAACCCTCCTGAAGTTGCAGTTGGGCCTAATGGCACGTGCCTTTAATCCCAACACTCTGGAGGCAGAGCTAGGCGGCTCCCTGGTGTGGACTTTTGGTTTATGATATGTAAGCGTGGTTTTGCTAAGCTCGGGGGTTTAGCTTGTCCACGCCTGTTAAATGTCTCCCGTGGGGTGTGGTCCTTGACAGATGGAATTAGCTGGATCCTGAGGACTCTGAGGGGTAGAAATATGACAGCCCAGAGGAAGAAGGCTGCTTGAGGGCTGCTTGCTGCTGGCTCGTCCTGCTGCTGCCTTTGCTGTTTGCTGGTCGCCTGGACTTCTGGACTTTCTGAGGACTGATATTGGTATAATCCGCCCCCCTCCCCAAAGAATTCTGCGACCCTACCCGGTGGGAAGTAGCAGAGAGAAGTCCGCCCCGTCCCCACTAACCTTCCCTCCTACCCGGTGTTGAGGTTGGAAGGGAGGTACAAGCGTTTAACAACCCTAAATAGAGTAGAAGAAAGGCAAGGTTGACATATTCCTGTGAGTTCCAGGACAGCCAGAGCTACTTAGTGAGTCTCTGTCTCAAACACAGACAGACAAGCAAAGAAAACCCTAGCCCTGGGCCTGCCGCGGCGTCTCAAAACAAAATAGAAAACTTTAAGTAGGGCGGCCTCCTCAGCCACTCAGGTGTGGCCCTGGTGACCTCCAGCCTCCACCTTCATTATTTCTCTTGCTTTCTTTTTCATTTTTGGCGGCAGGGTCTCTCTGTGTAGCCTTCACTATCCGGAAACTCGCTCCGTAGCCCAGGCTGACCTCGAACTCAGAGATCCACCTGCCTCTGGCTCCCGAGAGCTGGGACTGAAGGTTCGAGCTGCTGCGGCCCAGCTCCCCCAAGACCAGTAGGAATGGGAGCGTCCCCTCCGCGGCGCCCGCAGTGGGCCGGTCCGCGCCCTGCCCACGTGAGTGGCCGCACGCACCCCCGGAGGTGGGCTGCTCCGGAGTGCTCCGCCCCCGAGGAAGGGCCCGCGCGTCGCTGCTCGCCGGCGGCTCCCCAGGTACCCGCCCCCCGCCGACCGGTCCCGACCGAGGGTCCCGCTCCCCGGCCCCGCTCCCCC